GAGGAAAGTGTATCTATTGAAGAGAATTCCCACCAGAAAATTGGGGGAAATCTTACAGATAAACTTGTTGTTAAAGACCTGCCTTCTGGGGCCCTGGCTGAGGTCAGGGTTCGCAGGGTATGGAAAGGATCCGATGAAGAAAGGTCATTGAAGGGGTGGAGCTGTTGGGACCAGGCTGGTTCTTTCTCTTTGCTAGGTGGAGGTTGTTCCGAGTCCACATGGGGGGTGGGGACTCTATGCTCTAGTGAAGAAGTTCCTGGAGAGCCGCCCTCCAGGATCTGTTTGCCTGGCTTGTAGGCCTTAGGAGTTTGGCCCTTGGGTTCCAAGTGCCCTCTGCCAATTGGCCTGGAGAGAGGACAGTGCCCATGGAGGACCTCTGCCTAAGGTGAACTGTCACCAGATGGCTCTTGGAGCCCTTGTGGTGCACCATCTTCATCCACAGGTCTTTGGGATGATGTCCTAGAAGTAAAATACTTAACCCTTTTTAAGACAGGCCTGGAATATTCCCCTTTGTTCCAGGCTTTTGTTGGGGGAATTGTTGGCAAAGTGGCCCCCAAGATGCTGGGGCTTGGCAGTAACTGAGGCTAGGTCCCAGGGCCACTTCCAGCCACCCACTTTGGAGGTTCCACAAAGGGCCTCCGTGCAGCTGAACAGTGAGATTCTTCATTCCAAGGCAGGTTATCCTAACCAACAGTTAACCCCTTTAGCCGGGTACCCTTCCTAGAGAAACAGCTGATTTGCTTCAATTCTTTGGTTCTAATGGACAGGTAAGGAGTCTAGGTAGAGTAAGGAAGAGGGGTGGGGCAGAACCCTTGGAAGTGGAATTGGCTTATCCATAGTAATAAATTATCATGACTTGACAAGTCATAGTAGTTGGCCAGGGCTCAGCTTCTTGCTTGCCTCCAGTTCATCATAGCTTGAATGTCTTACTGAATCAGTGAGACATATGTATAATATCCCAGAACTTGTGTTACTCCACCATCTTTATTTTTTAGAAGATTCCAACATTCAGGGGAGTGATCCTCTCTTGAGCACACCATTGTATGCAGTCATTGGCACCTTGAACCAGGGATTTTGGAGGCTGAGTTTGCGCCAGCCTCCAGGGCACAGATGCTGCTACCCAGGGAACTTGGAGCATGGCCTACCAGCTACAGAGATGACCCACTGCTGCTTCAGAACCTTGCTGTTTGTTTACTTTGGCCTCTGGAGTGTATTTTTGGCGCTTCCATTTTCCCCTTTCTGATGGAACTGTGGTTTCCATCTTTTGACAATAACTGCTTTGCTACTCCTGTGCCCTGGGTAGGAACCCCACATAATCAGAAATGCTGGGAAGGCAGCCGAATTGTTGAATAACAGAATCCGAGAAGACGTCTCATTACATAGGAGTTAACTCCAAAGAACAAAAAGTTGTTTGCCAGTGTATTATTGTTATGGTTATATGTACTTAGTTTTCTGCCTGTAATCCTCACAGCAATCCAGGGATTGTCTCCTGACTTCTCAGTGTGAAACAGGTTAGAGAGAAAGGCAGAGTTTCTTACACACATGGACATGTACATGGTGGTTACAGCCTTTCGGGATAATGTAAATATTGCTTGCGTTTGTTTATGTTCAACATTGTCCATATGTGCCACTCTGCAGACAGATGCTTGTGGTGATTTGAGCATTATATGTTTATCCAGACGCATAGTCCCTTGTCTCTAGCTTTTCGGGGGGTATTTCCGCTTGAATATCCCTAGTACTTCCAGCATCCCAGCAGCATCCAGCTACCTGGGTCTCAGAGTTTGAGCTTCCTTAGCTCTCCTCCATCCACCCCGAGATCCTGTGAGCTCTCCCGTTTCAGGCTTGACATAACCTTCCTTTCCAGCTACACCTCTGGTTGCCTTCGTGTGAGCATGTTTGTTTCTTTTCTGCCTTCAGCCCAGACTACACAGATTGTCCAGGCTCTTTTACTCACATATTGTGTCCTCTAATCCAACACCTATGTATAATTGGCTGTCATTTCTGTTGTGTTGAATCTAAACGCTCTGTCCCGCTGCCTACCCCTCCCAGTGGACGTGGTCCCAGTGATTCCTTCCTCATTTCCTGAGGAGCCCCACAGGGACTGTCCTGTGTCAGGGGAACTCCTACCCTGTTTTTACAGCTGCTCATTAAGTTACCCAGAGCCTCCGCTAGCTCTTCATACATCGGGACCATCCTTTAATTCTTATCACAGTCTTTATTGGCTCTCCCTCTTGGAAAGCACCACTTAGAGCTCATTGATCTAGGAACGCTCTCTAGTTTGATTCATTAAGTATAGTTGATGCCTCACATACCGTGGTTCCAAGATAGACGTTAAAAGGATTATTGAGTTGTGGCCCTGGGAAGACAGCAGTGGACAGTCCAGGGACAGTGGCAGGACAGAGTGGGCACCACGGAGATGGTTGTACACACACAATTGGAAAGGACTCTGGAGAAAGTAGCACTTAAGCTGGGGCTTAAGGGACGAGTGGAATTCGATCAGCAGGGAAATAAGTAGGACACCCAGGTTGCAGGCTAGAAGGAGAAGAGAAATAGGAGTGGATGTTCCTCATGTGTTTTGGGATGCAAGCTGGAACAGAAGTGTGCATTGTCTGTGTTTCCTCAGTTGCAAGTCTCTCTGGCGCACCACAAACTTAGTAACAGCTTCTTTGTGTGTGTGCGCGCGTGTGCATGCCTT